CCCCAAAACCCCAAAACCCCAAAACCCCAAAACTCATGATCGACTATTGATAAGTTAAATATTTCACTTGGTATTAATAAATATTAAAATGAACACATTTATCATATTAGGCTTTATTTCAGCCATATTATATGGTATCTTTGTAGATGGAACATACTTTAAGATCTACTTCTCCTTAGTTGCTCTTTACATTGTGATCTTCAATTTCATCTTTATTGATAAGAAAAGCATTCCTAAGAGAAAGAACATCACTGCAGTCACTTGGTCATGTAATTTTACTGCTATTTATAGACTTTATTTTAGCACCATCTGATCCTACTTCATATATTGTTGTTGATTTAGATGTCACCAAGACTCTTGAGTTTTTAAAAAGAATCAAGTAAGGATTTATTAAGGGTATAGCTAATAATTTATGTAGTGAGTAGCAGAAAGAACATAGGATTACTATGACTCATGTGATGACGAAAGCGATGTTTTTGTCTAATGATAGAAACAGAAGAGACGTCGGCAGAATTAAGTGGGGACACGTAGGTTATAAGTAGTCAAGTGACTTTATTTATAGTTCCAAAAATGTGATAAGATTACTTGCTCAATCCTAGTTGATAGCGGAAGTGGAAAGGACTTAGTTCCAGTAACATTACAAGAAGTATAAAATGAATCGATATTAGACCTTGCGAGAATAATTAATGATAAAGTTTAAAGAGCAAAGTCAAATTAAGATAAAGAACACAATGAAGTAACTAAGTTATTTGGATTGATTCCAAACTTTATTCTCGGAGTCATCTTAACCGTTGGTTCTTATCTAGGACAATGTGTAGGACTTAGCATTCCACCTCTAGGAGTAAGATAATTGATTATTTAATTGTAATATTTAGATAAGGGGAAATGCTTTCGGGCATGCAGTATTGACTAATATTGGAACTATGGGACTTGAATAAGGATTTGCTCCTCTTCCATGCCCATTCCATTCAATGTTTATCATCTGTTCAGGAAAAGTCATGAAGAAACCAGTAGTTATCGATGGTCAGATTGTAATAAGAGACATTATGAATACTGTTTGGACCATTGATCACAGATATGGAGATGCAGCACTTGGCCTTAGATTCATTAAAATCTTCTAAGATTTCACTGAAGACCCAGAAAACTTTGACATTAACAAGTATCCTGATTGCAGAACTTATGACGCCCCAAAAGATAAAAAAGCATGAGCACAACATTTATGCGATGAGTTACTAGTAAATAACGTTTGTTGAGTAATAGTTTAGCTTTTATACTTTGAAATGAGTTCATTGCATTTTTGAAAAGGACAGAATCACTGATTATTTATTCAACATAACTTTAATTACATTAAAACCTTACTTAACTAACAGAGTTCACATTAATTTTGATTTTAAATAAAATTATTAATAAAATAATGGCAAAATTTAATACAATCAAATCACTAGTCTTACTAGGCTTAATTTTTGTGTTGATTTTCAGTGACTTAGCTACTCCCAGATAATCTAGAAGAGATAAAATTAAAAAGGCTAAAGAAGCATAGCAAGAGGGCATACTATCTCAAGGTATTAGGGCCCTTTCAGACTTGAGCATTGAAAGAAAACTTCTACTTGACTGTAATATGCAGATGAATTTGCAAGAAACCTTAGAAAATATGTTACCTCCAGATGCAAAAGGAAACAGACCAAAATTGTAATATGCCTATTTCTGTAAGGAATATTTCTCACAGTTAAACTATTATAGGTGGCGGTGCTACTACTCCTGCAATCACAACTCCACCTCCAAATACAACAGCAAATATTAATATCACAAAGTCCCCGAACGGTACAAAACCAGGAACAAATGCTATCTACACTCTTCTCAATATTGTTTTATTAACTTCGATCGCTTTGTCAGCTGTTTTCATCTGATCAATTACTTAACTAAATATTTACTTTAACATAAATTAACAATTATTAATGATAATCAAATATGCTATTTTATACCAACATTTTAGATCGCGGGGTTTTGGGGTTTTGGGGTTTTGGGG